CCTTGTAATTCCCATGTATGCACATCACTGCCCTCTGTTTAACAAAATGAGGATAGATTGAGTGGTTCCCAGACCCATTCTTGCTAATAGAGAAGGAGATTCATAATTTTAGAAATTGGTTTGGGTATTTGGGAAAAAAAAATAAATTAAAACTACAGTGTTCTCTTGAAGTTGTCAAGCACAAGCATGTGTTTCTTGTTTGCAATATTCTCTTAGTGTCTCTCTGCCTGTGCTTGGGCTCTTGTGTTTGGCCCTACCAGGCATCCTCGGGAGAAAGCTGGTATTTGCCACTGACATGTGAAAGGGGAGCACAAGTTGCTGCCTTTTTTTCTAACTCCCCCAGTATAAATTAGTCCTTAATATCCAAGAGATTAATCAGTGTAGCAATAAGCTGCTGTACAGAATTAAAGCAGCTTGGTTAAAGGCATTCTTCTTAAAAGAAATTCCTGCTCATTTACATGAAATTGAAGAAAAAATAATAAAAAAAAAAAATCAGAGTGACCAAGACTGACAGCATACCTGACAGCATGAACATTATTAGAATTATAGATCTGATTACAAGTGGCATTGGAGCTTAAAGTCTGTCTCTCCTCAGCATGACTTACAAATTCCCAAGTGCAGCAGAACCTTTTCCAGCAGTCCTCACTTTCCTTCTGTCTGCTAACAAGATCTTCCTCCCCTCATTTCTTCTCTGAGGCTTTTTGTTTTTTGTGGTCTAGAGTATGAAACTTTTATTTTCAAAATAAAAGCTCTCAAGCTATTGGATGAGATTTAGAGCTTTGCTTAATTACTTCATTTTGCCTCCTAATAGAAATTGCCAGTTCTCCCTTGCTAATACAAAATGCAAATGTTCTTCAGAAGCAAGAGGCTGCTGTGTTTCCACTGTCACTTCAGACAGGTCTGGGAACTGGCTGGTGACAAGAAATGATGGTGAAACTGAGAGGAGTTTTGGCCATTCAGGATAAATAGGGCAGGAGATTGCAACCAAGTCTATCCCTATAGATAGATATTGCTACAAATTTCACATTTTGTTTCATAAAGTAAAAGCTAAAGTCATATCACATGGTCCATACAAATCTGAAACAAATAATTTGGCTGTAATAATAAATCTGCTTACTTGCATAAGGAATATTCAGTTACATCATTCAACAAAAATGCAAGGCTCCTGCATGTGCAGCTCCAGCTCAGGCTGTAAGGGGCGGATGAGGAAAAGCTGACAAATGTTAAGTGTTCTTTTAAGTGGGATGACTCTGTTCCAGGTGAAGGTGAACACACCAGCCTACCAGAAAGGTATTCCGATGTCCTCTCGACTGCCTTTTCTTCACTTTCTCCTTTTTAACCGAGTTGTTTGCCATAGGACTCTTGCACGCCAGTGTTGTGAATGTGCTCCTTCCTTTGGGAAGAAGAATGTGGGATCACACCCTAAGGTGTGGGCTCACCCCTTGTTCCACAGGGCTGGAGCAGACTCTCCTCTGGAGCAGCCCTGGCTGTGCACTGACGTGCCTGGGCGTGCAGGTTATCTCCGTGCAATTCCCTCCTGAATAGAGGTGCATTCCTTCAAATGAGCAGCTTAAAAGCAAATCCCAGCCCTCGAATTTAAATGCTTTAAAGTATTATTTTTTTTCCTCCCATTTGATGGAACTTTGATCTTTTATCCATTGATCTGCTTCCTGATCAAACTATTCAGGTTTAAGTGATAACTTTGTTTTTGTGTGTTTCATCCATGGTATCAGTCTATCTGTCCTGGGAGGATATCAGAGCTTGTCTGAGTTCTGTGGATGCATCACAAAACCTCCCTGAACAAAAGCAGGTCTTGTAGTATTAAGCTTTAAATACTACAGAGATATAAAAATGGCTAGAGAATTACTAATGGTGTACACAGCTTTTATTGTCTGTAAGTGATATGGATCCTGCCTCTAGGGTTTTAATTCCTTTTTTCCAAGGGAATACAGAACCCCACACAATAATCTCAGGTAGGGCTCTTAGCCTGAGCAGACAGTTTAAATCTTGTTCATGTGGTCTGAACAGATACTGTTGCTCTCTTTTGGCTGTTTGATATCTTCTGTCAATGAGCAATGCTGTCTCAGAGCCACCAGAGCTCAGAGTAACAGAGGTGAGGTATTTCCAGACAGTGCAACTGATCATTTCCATCATACAACCTTCACAACAATTTTTCCAGGAGAGACAACTGAGCTTCTTCCATTTACTTTAATAGGAAATCTGGCCCCTGAATGTTGTTCTGAGATATTAATCTGTATTTTTAAGGATTCATTGTGTACTTTTCCATTGGCTGCATAGGATTTATAGGGATTGGTTTGGGAAGAGAGGCTCGGCTTTTATTTTTTACCAACACAGGTATGCTGAAGAGAGGGAGTGGAGGAAGTGAACTCTGAGGATCTGTAGGAAACTGTAAAAGGTGGGACTGAGTGCAGGAAGAACATCTTTTGCATGGAAAGTGAAGACATTCAGAGATCAGTTGTCTCCAAGTAGCTTCACTTTCAGATTATAACAAAGCATAGAGAACATGATATTTGACATAACTTGAGACAATAAAATATTTAATGAGCCACATCAATGTAAAGCTCATCTGCTTTCACTGGAATGATGCTGCTCTGGCACCAGCAGGAACATCCATGCCCATTCAGTCTTTCCCACCCTCATGGATATGTTCTTTTGTGTCTAATGAGTCGCAGTGATCGAACTTCCTACAAAGGAAATGACCTTTCAAAAAAGCCCTGAAGCAGAGAGGTGAAAGAGTCTGCAGAGTAACTACCCACCAGTTCAGTTTTCTGCAAAGGAAATGGGCTGATCTTATCTTGATGTTAAAACACTTTCGTCTGTCCTATGAGCCTATGATTCCTGGATTAATCCTAGGGTTAAACATTCAGTGCACAGTACCAGAAATGGCACTTTGTGGCTAGTGGCTATAAAACTGTGGTCAGGAGTTGCCCAAATGACCAAAGCAGATGATAACTGAGGCAGTGCCTGTCATCTGCGGAATTACCTGCCCAGAGCATGCAATTGAGCAGCTCCAGAAATGCTGTTTGGTGTAGTTTTGGCTTTTTCACTGGACGAGTTGATTTAAATCCTGACATGCCTTCTAAAATCTACTTTGGGTTCCCTTCTAAATAAAACAAGTCAGCTATGTGTATGTAAATGTATTTTTGGTATCAATTCAAGGATTGACCTAAAGGAAAAAACATTTTTTTTGGGATGCACAAAATGAATACATTAAATGTATTAAATGAATACATGGAAATGTATGAATTGATTTTGCTCAGTCTAAAGCAGAATGTTTGCTCTATATTCTTTTTCCTAATTATGTATATGTCAGGGAATGATGAAGGGATATGATTACAGGGATAGGCGACAGCATGAACAGATTTCAGATTAAGAGGGGGGCACAGTATCTATCTTTGATAATCTATTGTCTTCCTCCCCTCTCAATCCAGTCAGCTTTTGAAATCTGCCCTAAGTTTATAATTTGGGTTTTGATTATTCCAACTGTGCTCTGTAATAAAGATATTATTTGCCAAAATGAATGTCACTCTCTGAGATGCCCATTTCTGTTGCAGAGCCACAGGATGCCCTTTGAGACATTTCCCATTTAAATGTGGAAACAAATGATTGTAATATTGATTTTTTTTTTACAGGATAAATATTGACAAGCACTGCTGTCCCTTAGATGAAGTTACCATGCATTTGACTCCACATAAGGGTGTTCACTGACTGATGCTTCCTCTGAACAGAGTTTTTAACAGTACAAATGCAGAAGGTGGGGCTTGGTGAAAAGATAATGGCCGGGAAGAAGAGACTTCCCAAAGAAGCTGAATGAGGGACCAAAGACAAGGAGAGAACTACAGCTTCAAACAGGCAGGCTCTGGCAGGACATTCTCTTCCTTATTTTTGCTACAAATGTCTCAAACCCCCTCCTCTATTTCTAATCACTGTAATTAATAGTGAGCTTCATTGCCCTCTCTCTTTAAAATAATGTCAAACTGGATCTGTGCTTTCACAACAAAACATGTTAGGGCAATGTTTCAGAGCTCAACTTGTAATTACAAACTGAAGGAGACTCCCAGAGATTCAGACAGTTACCAGCACAAAGTAGGATCCCAGGTTTCTGTCTGGTGTGATTGCTGTTTTGGAGGGAGCCTTCTTTGACCTTCTTTCTCTGAGGAAGATATCCACTGAACGTTTTGGAAAGGTGAGTCTTCTGTATCCAGTGGACAGAAGATGGGTAAGAAAAGGGAAAGGGAATGCCAGACAATGACAGAGATACAGAATGGAGACAGCTGACAACAGGTAAGAGGAGCAAAGAGCTTTAAGGGTTAGAGATAGAAGTGAATAAAGGAGCCATCATCAAGCAGAGTCCTTTGCATTCACTTTTTCAGAATGACTGAGTTAAGTGTATGTGTACATATTATATCTCTCTGTGTTTGTGTGTATAAAATAATTAATTCCAGCATGAGTACTTTGGCTTCTGGAGAAGCTGCTGCTGGCAAAATTGTCTGTGGAAAATCTTGGGGTGAGGGAAGGAAGAGTTGGTGCCTTCTGTCTGCTGAAGTCAGCCCATTGTACGTCACCTAAGTATGTTAGTATCACCTAAGTAGTAAATATCTCACAGTTAAAGTAACTTCCACTATTTTAAAAAATGTCTTCTCCAGGGTAGCCACATGCAAGAAACACTGGGAAGATACACGGAATGTTTGTGACTCCTGTGCCTCTGGGAAGGGCCCTCACATCCATCCTGTCAAGACTGAGCTCCATGATTCTTTCTCCACACTGATGCTGCAAATTCTGTTGTTCAATGTGTGGAATATGTGTCAAAAGAATTAAACCAGGATGTTCTCCTGAATGTGCAATTCCAGAGAAGGCACTCACTGGTACTTCAAAAGCAAGCAAAGCAGCAACATCCTGAAATTGTTGTTTTTTCTGGAATGTTTTCATTGCTTGACTGAAACTTTCTGCAGATATCTACACTGAAGTGCTTTGTTTGAATTGGAGCAAACACTGTTGCTAGTCTGCTCTGAAAGCTTGAGATGGCTCTGACTTCTCCAAAATCTGTAGCAGGGGATTTGACACAAAGAGAAGAATCCATTCTCCATGAGGGAAACTGCTGCCATTTCCTCTCTTCAAACATCCTCACAGTAGGTGAGTGGAAGGTGTCATTCTTTCATCTCATAGTTTGGTATTAAACATGCACTCTTTTTTTCTTCTTTAATTTACTTTTCTTCTTAAATTTACTTTTATTGTATTGATATTTCATATGGGACTGCTAGTTTTCCTTAAATTTGAAGGAACTATGCTTGTATATTCCTCAGTCCCTTTCTCCTGTGTAGTTGGTATTGTGACTAGAGTTTGGGTAAAGTGTATTAAAAATCCCCCAAACAGCCATTTCTGTGTACACTGAGGATAACTTTGAATCAATCTTGCTTCTGTCTTTGCTTGTAGGGTCTGTGAGGTTTCAGTCATGTGAAGGGACCTTCATGTGTAGAATTTGTAAAACTTGTAAAAAATGTAAATTAGTGTCCTGGTATAAGACTGCCAAGAGGTTGCCATATTTTTCCTTGATTCTTTAGAGTGCTTCTGGAAAATTTGTCTTGAAGTTGATGAGACTGGGATTTATAGTGCCTCAGGTTGTGTTTCTGTGCCATGGAGTTGTCTGAACTGAGCTGGGAGATGCAGAACTCAAAGAATAATTATTGTTGGCTGTTGCTCTTTTTTCAGTGCTGACTGCTTGTGCAGGGGAATATGAGCTCTTCTCTTAGGAAGCTCTGGAGATTACAGATGTGATAGTGCACATCAAGTGTAGACTGGAGATTGGGTAGGAGGGAGGCAATTGTGTAACTGATGTCTGTGACAAATGAATTTGTGCTATGGGAGACATCTGAGGGAGGAGGAGCTGGGTTTTATTTTTTTGCATTTAAAATAAATTTTAAAAAAGATTATTTAGCTTAATATTTAAATCAAAAACTTAATTTATTCAACACAGGACTCATTTGCTTGAAATGCATTTAATTTACTGCCTACAATCATGAAGTGGACAGCACTAAAATTCTGGCTGAGTTTTCACAGGACTTAATTTTGGTTAAATATCCAGCAGTTGTGAGATAAATTTCACTTTCTGTTGGCTTACAATTTGTGCTGATAAGTATATTTTTTACTAGCTGAATATATTTATATTGCAGATATATTAAAAATAGCCTGTCAATTAAATTAATCCATGATTGATTGTCATTATCCTAGTTCTTACCTTTCTTACACATTTATTGATGTTATGTTTCCTAGTAGGGCCATCAAGCCATTATCATTGTCTAAGTGTGCTTCTTTCCTTACATTGATTTACAAGGAGTTTGAAAAAGTAAGAAAAAAGAAATTTAGATGTGAAATGGGTTGCATCATTTGTGTGTTCTTGTACTCAGAAGTGAGGTGATCTATTCCAGTTATTGCTATATCACACAAACTGACTGTTAGGGAACTCATTTTTTATTTATAGGGTGATGACTCCTGGATGTGTATTACATATCCCTGGACATGAAGCTCTGTCAGTGTGCAAACATAGGACAAAGCGCAAAAAAAAGGCAGAAATAGCTGGAGGGAGAGAAAGTCTTCATTGTGCCAGGGCAGCACTTCCAGCATTCCAATGCAAGTGGGTCTGAACCTAAACAAAAGCTGGTCTGGGCTCAGGAATCCCTTTGCATGCTGGTTCAGAATACCCTCTTGAGCTTGGCCTTGCCTCCCTCATTAACTCTTTCCACAGCACTGTTGAATTGCAGCTCTGATCTGATTTTGCCTCTGAACTGTGACAGACACTGAGCCACCTGCACAGACATGACAGTGACACTGCTGAGTTGCTGCCTGGAGCAGCCTGTGCCTTCAGAAATAACATTTCAGCTTTGTCAGGCCCAGGCTGCCAAATGGAACACTTTTCATATTTGGGTGAGTTTATCTGCCAGAAAACTTAGGAAAGGATGGCACTGGAAACTTAAACCACTGGTTGCAACTCCATGAAGTTAATTATGTGGTCCTCAACCGATCATTTGGCCCCAAAGTATCATAGTTACCTGCAATCTCCTTCTGTGCTTACTCATCTTCAGTGGCTTGGAACTCTTGGCACTCTTGTGAAGCTTTCTGATGTTTCATCAACTGAGACACTTTTCAAAACCTGTTGCTTTTTTGCAGTAAAACCTCCACTTCTTTTGTGTAGGCTGTATATGGATGAGGAAATAGATTGCTATGTAAAAAGGAAATCTGAGTGAAATGCAATTAACTTTTACATAATTTGGTTATATATAATGTCATTAGTCCTTATTACAGCAGCATTGGGAGAGTCCAAAATCCAGGAGGGATATGGCAAATTCAGTAATCCTCTATTTTTCAAACATGCTCTGGCATGTCTAGACTTACTTTTCCTTTATAATCTGATGATGGAGTGTTGTGTATAGACATGCAAAATCCTGTTTGCTGAGATACGAGGTACATCAGATTAGCCTGGAGAAGCATTTGAGCTGGCCTTCAGCTGGGGCTCTAACATCTGCCTGGCTGTGAGCAGCTGCTGTCATGGCAGGGCTTAGGCTGGGGCACCTCCAGAAGTGCCTTCCAACCCAAACCACTCCATGGCACAAGCTGAGCTGAAGAACAGACACGCAGGTGATATATTGTGAATTGGCACCAGCTGTCTGACAGGAACTTCAGTTAAAGTTAGATTTCTGTGAAACTGCCCATCAGCTAAAAATAAAATATGACCTGGTTCTGCTTGTTCTGCATGTACAAGGGAGCTGGGGAAGAATGGCGCCTGGTTTGGGCTTGGGTTTTGTTGGTGCAGTTTGAAACCAGTCTGAACAGACTGTATTCCTTTAATGATTGAACTCAAACATGTTGTTCTCCTCAATTTGTTGTGACACAGATGATGGTGCTACAAAATTGTGACACCAAATCCTGAAGGTTTTGTCTCAGCTGAGAGTTATATTTTCAGCACCTTTTTTCCTTCCTTAATGGAGGACAAGGCTGTAGTGTAATGAACACTGAGAGCTGCTGTTTGTCCTCCCTTTTGCTGCAGAGGCAGAAGTGCACAGGTGAGGTTTGCAGAATGCACAATTGTTTCCTTTGCTGGCGATGTTAGCTTATACTAATTTACGTTAGTGAGTCCACAGACTGTTGTAATGAAGCTATGAATCTAAGGACACAATACTGGACTGCTCAGCAGATCCAGATTCTAGTTTTGATTCCGTTACTGCCTTCTTGTTTGGCTCTTTTTGTAACTTCATTTTATCCTTATGTTGTCTCTGATTATAAATGGGAGCTGCTATTTCTGTACAACAGGCACTTTTCAGTCATGTTTAGGTCTTTTTTACGTGTTCTGAAATACAAATAATAATAATGTCCAACCTCAGCAATTCAGAACTGAAATAACTCTGGTAAGATCTAGAGAGTGACAATAGTGGGAGCTGATACTAGCTGCTTGGGAGCTGTTCTGCAACATTCAATCTGTAGACCACAAAGGAGTCTGAACCCTGGAGCTTTTTAATCTTGGGTGGTGGTGGCCTGGAGTAGATCTGAGGACTGACAGAACAGTGAAACTGAATCAATTTTCAGTTTGTGACAAAGGCTAGTTTCGGATGTCCAGGCTTATGTAGAATTCTTTAATACTGTTCAAGTCTTAGAAGGAAAACTGTTTGAAAGTGTTCAGTCTTTGAGTATTTTTATATCACATTAAGAGATGACAAAATTATGAGAAATTGTCCCTTTCTGTGAAGCAGAGTGCATTGTAAAGAATGAGGAAGTGTCTTGAGGTCAGTGCAGGCACAGGTAACCTTGGCTGGGGCTCAGCACACGAGGACAGCTCTCATCTGTGTCCATTCATTCACACTCTGTAAATACATCTCCTGCACCTGTTGGAGGGCAGGGATTTGGGAATCATGTATGGTGCAAGGTACCTGGAGGATGTCTGGCTTCTTGCTGCCAGCAAAGGGCTGAGCACAAGGCTCAGGCTTAGGAGTCCAGAATGAACCACTGGAGCCCAGGACCCTGAACTTCATTATGACTGTGCTTAAGCATCTTGTTTTTCAGCTGATGTGACTCAGATTCCTTTTTCCTGTCTTTGAGGAAAGTATATTTGTTTCCTCAATGATTTAATTTTTAAGCAAGTGAACTTTTCAAGCCTTGCCATTTAGCCCAAATAGATTCAACAGGTAATGAAAATATCTAAGGTTTTCTAGATTAACTTCTTAATTTCTTTTAGTTTGGAATTTTTGTTTGCCTGTTGTTTTTGGTAAAGTGCATTGTAATGTAGTTTTTGGAGGCTCTGTGCCAAGACGCCTACAGGTGTTTAGTCTCCTAATTCCTATTCAGGCTCAGACATTCCTGCTGTAATCTCTTGGAAGGCGGGAGCCTAATTACCAATGAATTGACACCTGCTATGGAGCAGGAAGGTATCTGCTTTGTCTCCAACTCACACAGCCTCTGCCCTTGGAAGTGATTTTGTTTTAGAATCAGGAAATACTAATAACCACCTGTCTTTGTCTCAGTGGAGATTTGTTAAGATAAATGTTTAGGAGGTTGTAAATCTGACAAGAAAAGCAATGGGCACCACAAAGGTATTTCCAACAGAGCTCTGCTTTGTTGGTCCTTCTCCGTAGGAATATAGCATTTTGGCCTCACCTTTCTTTGCTCTGTGCTAGTGAATCATGAGACTGTAATAAAAAGGGGAGTGTTACCTGGATACTCAATTATGTGGCAGCTCTGCTTCTCCTGTGAAAGTTAACTGGGAGAAACAAGATAAAAAGAACTGACTGAACTCTGTTGCAGAATCTGTGGGGTTTTTTTCTGGATTAGAAATTTAATCACCTGTATGTTACCATCTGTTTCTTCTTCTTTCTTTTCCTCTCCCCCCTCAAGTGTTCCTGCCCTATATCATGTATCTGCTGCTGCCTGTAAAGATTTTGGACTTGTATATCGGGAAATGGGACAAATCCAGCAGAATAAACACCACCACCCCATTCCCGATTCAGGACATCGCTCAAACAAGGGGCTGTATCGCGGTTGCCATCTACTGGGTGAACGTGTGCTCGTGGTCACACGGCCTCCATCCTGCCAGAACCTAGGGAAGTTGCAGCTGCCTCAGGACCAGCTGAGTGCCACTGCTCCTGGAG